TTATTTTCAGACTCGCTTTAATTTTTTTTTTTCTATTTTATTTGGTATACACTTTCTATCCGCCCCCGTCTTGCCTAATTATGCCATGACGGCTTCCACACACAACCAAACACAAGAAAGTGCCAACGGAGCCTGCTCCCGTGCGAGCTTCGAGGACACAATGGCCAAGGGTCGTGTTGGGGTTGGGGTTGCCTCGTCCTTTGCCATCATTTTAATATTTTTCATCAACCTTCACGTCATTTTCGCCAGTCTATGAGTAAATATTACTGTTGTTTTGACTGCCTTCGCCGCAGTAAGGTAATGTTAAAAGAAGGAATATTGATTTCGTTACGGTTGTTAAAAGCCAATAAAACATTTATTGTTATATGGAACAGAAAAACCGAGGACTTAAGCTGCCTCCTGCACATTAAAAAAAATGACCCATCATATCTAAATGTCTATAAAGATAAAAATTTTGCATATCTAGTCTATATAGTCCTACTCTGAAAATAGTAAAACAATGCAGAATGTAGAAAATATTTAAATGCTTAAAATTATTCAAAGTTTTGCAATATTAATATTGATATAAATTTATATTTTAATCAAACAGTAAATATTTTACGCAACGTACGAATAAATAGTGGTCACATTTTTCGTATAAGTTAAGCAAAGCAAATTCAAATAAATTAATGATATGGTGGTTGTTGATGGAAGTACAACTATTGCATATGGGTAAAACAACATACCGTACGAATTAATAACCCCATAAAGTGCATATACTCTTAATCAGCATGACGAGAGAAATCTATCGCGACATGTCCGTCCGTCTGTTCGTCCGTCTGTCTGGATGAGCCCCTCGATTTCGGAAACGACTGGGCGTACGTTAACCAAACTTGTCCTAGTCCCTAGTCGGGCTTGCTCGACTGCAGCGTTCTCTCTTGTAGTTTATTTAAGTTCGGTAAACAGTAAGCTCGGTTCCTGGTCAGTGACTGAGGAAAACATTGAACTAAGTTATTATTTTGGTAATCGTATAGGAAATCATTATTTTTATCAAAACGTATGCCAATTAAGCTTTCCATACCAATGCCCGTTTGCTGCCTTCCAAATTATTCTTCTGCCTTCAAGGAGTCTCTATCAGGCGCGTATGTCGCTCTACAAGAACATAAAACAAGCAGCGAGCATAGCCTTACTTATAAGATAAATGGCTTAAACATCATTTAATTAGGAAAATTGTGAGACTCACGACATACAATATAATTAAGCGCTTTATGATCTATGAAAACAGAAGCGCAAAATAATTCGGGAAAAAACTTAAATTGACGGTTAAATTTATGTATGTGTGTGTCAGGGTGTAACTGTGCCAAATAGAAACGGCGTGCGACTTCATCGTCGCCATCATATCAGCTTGCCTTTGCAGCCATTTTCCCCGATTCAGCAGCGTTGCAAACATAAACTGAACATAAGCTAGAAGCAATAATCCAAAGCGGAGCAGTAGGGAAACCTCATAACCCATGCTTCACAGAAATTGCGTGCCTGTTTCGCTGCTCACGTTCGAAGATGCCTCGAGGGAGCGCACCCGAATGACTTACCCCAACAATGCCATCAAAACAATGATTGCAATATTTTTAGCTACAAATTCGCCAAAAATAGAGCGAATAGCAAAAGCGTTGAGCAGTTAAACCGCAGCGAATAAAAACAAAGTCAACTCAACCCACTGTGGACAGAAGAAAAAATATAAAGTAAATCAGATTGAGAGATGGACAAAAAAAGGACGGGCGGACAAACAGTTTGGGAAACGTTTGAGCAAAGGACGTGGTGTGTAATGTGTGGCTGTTTGGCTGACGTGCCTTGTGCTTGTGCTTGCACGCGTTCCGGTTCATTAACCAAAAAACTATCGCATAGCGCAAAAACGAAACAAAATTACCAGCGAGCAAATAAAATGTCGTCGAGGGTTTGACGCCATTCCGACAGATCAACGTCACACAATGATAACAGTGCGGATTGAGGCGTCGCTTGCCGCAATTTTCCATCTTATTGTGTGGCATTAGAAAGCGAGTGAGCAATCGCGCTGCAGGTTTAATTTAACTGCTATTCCCCTTCCCTTCTAACCATTATTTTGTGCTCATAGCTTCTAACCATTAATTTGTGCTCATAGCTTTGAATCGCTTCTTTTTATTGGTTCTTTTTTATTCGCTATTTCGTAGGTGCTATTCAGTTGATTATGACAAAAGACCAGAATAAAATTTTAGGTTTCTGCCGCGGTTACAAATTGTCGTACTTGAATCTGTGAATCATAAAAGCTCCTAGTAAATTTCACATATTGTTTGTAAAACAATTTAAATCAATTAGATAGAAAAATGTAAGATTAAAATCAGCTCTCTTAGACCATTAAAAGAGTTATTACAATCGTTGCATTCTTACGATTTTTATATTAGGTTTGTTCAAAGTGAAAAATATAAATGTAGGAGTGGATAAAGGGTATTTAAGAGCTGGTTCTGCTTTGATCCATCTTTGTTTTCTCATTAGATAGTTTCTAATTATATTTAATACACATCGAATTTTTCTGCATATTAAGAAAATGTCCAATGAGTGCAAAAGATACTCTTGTAGTAAGTAAAGCTATTGTCTGGATAATTGCTCAATACCCACACATTGAAGTTGAAGTTGAGGCCAGCAGCACACATTTTATGTAAGCTTTATGAAACAACCCTAAGTAGCAGCTGCATTGGTTTCCCTAAGCATGGCCATATATTCCGTACATGTACGTACATGCGAATGACTGGCTTTTGTATTGTGTTGCATTGGTGCTTCTGCAGCTGTTGGCAGCTGTCTATCTATCCTACCACACACTGCCACCAGGCACACTTCGCAACTGTCAGACTGACTGTCTGACTACCCGACTACTCGTACATAGCTGTTAGTCATTAACGCACTTGTACCCTCTGAGTAAGATCCCAAAATGTAAACTTTTTGTCAGTTTTTCTGTTCCATCCTTTTCTATTCTATTTTGCCCTGTTGTGTTCTGCTGTTTTTGCTTTGCACTTTGCCATCTACAATATAGTGTTGCATTTCTTTGGCACTTACAGTTTCTCGTTGCAGATGCCATCACCAATGCTACCGTACTTACCCGACTGGCCCTGGCAATCTGCACTTACAGATTTTCAGCCCCACGCATCAAACTTTTAAAGTTTAAGAGAGTTGAATGTCATTTGCTAAAGCTGTAGCTGCAAATTTTAAATAAATAAAAAATGAATTCTTCAACTACTATGCACAATTTTTAATCTTTATTCGTACTTTTATAATTTTGTGTGTATTCATATACATGGTATATAAATCTATGTTTCATTATAATTAAATAATAGTAAGTAGATAGGTGGCTTGAATTGCTTGTGTCAGTATGTGTTCGTGTGAGCTTACAAGCTAGACATTAAATTACAAATGCTTCTATGAGTAATTGCGCCATTAGTTCTGATTTTGATTTATGTATGTATGTGGTCTTCTCTCAAGCGCATCCATCTATCAACAAAATTCTAGGCGTGTTTTAACTTTACCCTTACTTGCTTACTGGCTAGGTTACAAACATATACACAAACTACTGTTATAAGTACACATTTACAGCTACAGCACACACAATAACTACATTGTTTCAATATGTAGATATCTATGTAAATGTTACGCTATTTACACATACACACGTACTATATGTATATTGAATATTAATAATTGCCATTTGTGTTATATATGTATGTAATGCTTTTTGTTTGCTTATTTGCTTGTTTCGAAAACAATAAGCAAGATTTTTTTTCTTGTGGCTTATGTTTTGCTGCTTTATTCTCTTCTTACTTGGCCCATTCATTATACGAGTATGTCGCTCAATCTGGCTGAATGCATTACAATGACGCTTCCCCATTTTTATTATACATAAGTTTCTTTTTGCCCTTGGCTATATTAATATGTCATCATTGTTGTTTTGTGTCCGAGTTAGAGTTTTTATTTTCTCTATTTTCTGGTTTTGCTGCAAACTGTTTACAATATTTTTTTTTCTGAGCGTTTTTTTCAAGCTGCAATATCAAGTCGGTCAGACCATTTGAGCTTAAAGTTTCTTCCCTTCAAACCTGTCTATTTTATTTAATTGCTAGTAAGGAACTCATTAAACGAAGAATTGACTGGGTCGAGAGGTCAACAGATATTCCATTATTACATTGATAAATGTATACGCATCACTACTCTTTTACACTCCCCTTTCCTCTAAAATCTTGTCCTTGATGCAGCTATGTGCGCAAGAAAACATTAGCTGTTTGAAGCTTTGCTTAGTTCGTTCTATGAAATCTACCGTACACTTAACATCTACTATTTATTAACTCAACTCAATTATACTCAAGTACATATGTATATAAACTAAACTCAAAATAGCCATAAAATACGCACGCACCCACAGTTTTATGTTACCCTCTGTTAAGTTACTGTTAATTTCTTATTTTTCTCTATGATGGAACTTTCACACAAAATATGCGTATAATAACAACTTAAATGTGTCTAGTTTGCTACATAAATGTATACAAATGTTATAGTTAGTGGCCCTTTTGGCTGTAGTTAACTTTAGTCGAGCTTTTGAGGTCTGCCGCTGATTGCTTTGTTTTTTGCTGTTGTGATTAATTTCTTAATTTTAATGCATCCGTAAGCTAGTCGTTCTAAATAAACATATTACAGAAATCCCAGCTATCTTGCCGATATCTTTTTAATTGCCTAACAAATCAAAATCATGGGTTTTGGACTTGAAACTTACTAGCATATTGAAAGAATATTTCATAGTTGGCCAGAGTCAGGTACGTGGACAGGTTGAAGACATAGCTTGCAATTACTTATAATATATGCATTAATTTTATAGCTTACCAAATGTTCACTAACTTCACCAACAGTGTTTAAACATACATAGGTACGACATGAGAAGTAGTTAATGTAACGTATCCTAGTGAAAACAGCGAGATAAGTGAGCTGGAGTCGTGATTACCATATACCAATGAAGCCTACCTGCTGATATCGTGCTTTTTATGGAAGAGCTAAGATATGAAAACTTACTATGCCAACTAATTATCACGTAATGCGCTAACATGAAACTATGCGATGCAAAGATATGCTTCTATATACAATAAAGAGTTACAGCTAATTTCTAAGAGCGTTATAGTTTGTGGGAACGAGCTTACTTCACCGAGGAGCTTGAGGAACTCGACAAGGGCACATGGCTCTCTAATTGAGGCGTGGTTTGGACCATAGCTAGCCCGACGCTGTCGCTATCGCTATCATTGCACTCGGTTGCTTGCATATCCTCCATGTCGTCAACATCCTCCAGCGTTGTTATCTGACTTTGCACGCTTTGACGAAGCTCTAAAACGCGATGAGGCTGCTCCTGCTGCGCCTCGATAAGCGAGGGTGCCGAGGCTGTAGCGGTTGCTGTTGTCGGTGAGCTCAGCGATGAATTTGAGGAGCGTAGCCGCTTTACAGAACGCTTGCCGGAAATCGGCATGAACGACACATGATGACCTGATGACGTTGATCGTGGATCCGTAGTGGTAGGTGTGAGGGCAAATGTGGTGTGCTTGGAGCCACTACTACAAGAAGGCGCCACCGGAGTGGCCGCAGCACTAACGGATCCAGTGGCAATAGCTCCAGCTGCTGCTAGGGTTGGCTCCAGTAATAACGAAGGTGGAACCGACGCGATAGTTAGCGTAGAAACTGACGAAGGACGTACGCTGCTGTTCCCTAAGTGCAATGAACATGCCGAGGCAGCCGCCACCGGCGGAGCTGTAATGGTCACAAGCGTCTTTGCCGCGCCACTCATTGCCGATGTGGAGCTGAAGTCGGGGCTACGTCCGAGCTGCATTCCTGAGCTACGACGTCGGGTGCGATGATGATGGCGATGAAAACTTTGGCACCTTGTGCACGAACGCTGCGAAGAAGATGGCGTGACAACCGTAGAGTGATGATGATGATGGTGATTGTGGTTACGTGCACCGCCGACGCCACCGCAGTTGCTGCTACCGCTGCAGGTGCTGCAACTGCTCAACTGACGTCACATGATGGTGCGGTCCAGTTGGTTGACCGAATGGTACCCAAAGGAAGTAGAGGCGGCCACCATAGCGGCTGCAACGTGGCACTGCGTAGACAAAAAAGCAGAAAGTGAAAAAGAAAAGGAGAGAGGGAAAAACAGAAAAAGAGTCATGCGTTATAAGTTGCATATTCATGGATCGCAGGCAGTCTTTAAAAGTGTGAAGGGTACTGTTTGTTTTTGTTGGCTGAAATATTTTCCATTTAAACGTGACCAGCAAAAGGGTTACGCATGAAAGCAACAGCAACAACAACGAATTAAAGAACTATTAAAAGTACTGCAGCTCAATTTGTGGCATTGTCTTTGCTTTTCATTAGTTTTTGTTTGTTTATTTATGTATGTATATAAAATGCGTCTCTTGATTTTTATTTTTGGGAACTCCAAGCATAACTTGATAAAAGAACGACATCAAAAACAGCAACAAGAACCAAGCAGAATAACAAAATAAAAAAACGAGGTTAACAAAAATACAAAAAATAAATGTACAAACTTTTAAAAAACAACGTTACTTTTATGTGAAAGCCTAAACAAATTTTAATATCGGAAGAAGAAAAATGGCCAAAATAATGATTATTTTATTCGACTATTTATTCTACACACTGTAACTATAATACAGTGCATATCACACTCGAGCGATAAATTCACAGCGGATTTAAATATATTTAAAAGGAGTGTTAAATTGACATTATAACTATATGAATTACAAGTGCAAGTAAAAATTTGGTTTATGTTTTGAGAGAGAGAATTGACAACGAAATTCTTCCGCAGGGAGTAAGCGAAAACTGTTTTTACCTACAGATTAGACAGGCTGCAAGTGCCTCTAGTTTCTTTTCCTATGAATCAACTCTTTCAAATGTACTTATACTTTATATATATATATTCGTTTCTATTCGTTTTTTACCTCTACTGCTGTTGTCTTAAATATCCCCAATGGCAACCATTCAGCTACACATCCAGTGAACTTGCGGGTAAAAAGCCCAGACATAAGCCTTTTTATACAATTTATTACTTAGCACTCAATAAGCTGAAAAACAAACGCGCAAAAATGCTTCGTAACTTTTTAATGTTTTTTGGGTGGAGCTTGCTGTTCTAAGAAATCAAAACCAGTGTTATAAGCTCCGCATACGCACACACAACAAAGCAAGCAAAAAACAAGATAGAACGCTACAGTCGAGCAAGCCCGACAGTAAAATAGCCTGTACTCTCCACAAAAAAAGAAAAATTTAAAAAAAAAATTAAAAAAAAAAATTTTTTAAAAAAATTAAATTATTAAAAAAAATTAATGAATTAATTAATTAAATTAAATTAGAATATATGTTTATGTTTAGTTTTAACAGCATACATTTACATCACGTACCTATGCGTGTTTATATGCGTGTATGTATGCAGCACAAAGTTGAACCAAAGCAGCAACAACAACAACAGCTGCGGGCAGCGCTGCCGACAGAGGCAGCGCATGAGCAGCGATTTTACTTATGGCTATAACTTTCTTCAGAATTGACCTATCATGATGAAATTTGGCACACGGACACATTAGTACTAACTGGATGTACCTACCAAAATTGATTTCAAAATTCCGAGAATTACGGAAGTTATAAGAAAAAACACGAATTGCGGGGGAGTGGGGGGGTGCATCGAAAAAAAACTCAAACTCGTACTTTCTCGGTCTTAGGAGAATATGGAAACCAAGTTTGGTTATTCTAGCTCTTATACTTTCTGAGATCCTTGCGTTCATACGGACAGACGGACAGACAGACGGACAGACGGACAGACGGACAGACGGACGGACGGACAAGGCTATATCGACTTGGCTTCTCATCCTGATCAAGAATATATATACTTTGTGGGGTCTGCCACGCCTCCTTCTGTGTGTTACATACATGCGCACAAAACTAGTATAGCCTTTCACCCTTTGGGTACAGGCTATAATAAAACTGATGGTCGAGCTACAGCGCTCACCAAGCCTCGTCGGACGAAGCCACTGACCCCGAAACCGCCGCTCTGTCACATAATTATAAACGTTAATTCACGTTCACAGTCCATTAAGGATAATTGATGTTTTCGAAACATTTCTGGCAAATTACATTTTGATGTTGAGCGAATGTTCGAGCTGTGCCCGCAGGACAAACTCGCTAGCGCGCCCACAATAAAAACAAAAACCCAGAAAAATTAGGCTGTGCTGTTCTAATTGTGATGGGCCGGGACCAAAACTGAAGTTAAGGAATACATTTCGAAGGGAAGTGATGTCGTATAGTTGCTAAACTTAATTTTGCTATAATTTTGTCCCTCCTCTAAAAAATGTGAGTGTATTTATGTGAGACGGCACAAATTTGTTTGATTAATTGTTATTCCGATTTCGTATTAGTCATTTAGAGTAAGTAGCCAAACAGTCAGCTAAAGCTCATGCCAAGAGGCAGGCAGCCTTGTTTTTGAAATAAATTATGTAGTAAATTGTATTTTGGCGATCCAAAAGACGGCGCAAGTATTTGTTACCCCATTAAAATATTTTCCACCCGCTAGCTTCTTAGTAGCCTGGCAACAGACTGACTGGTTTTCTTACCTAATACTAGCAGGTCTTGCCCATCTTTGATGGGCTCCGTATTTTTACTTATAATTATAGGTTTATTTCTTTTCCAAGCAAATTACTTTGGTACGTTTCGAAAGAGTTAGAATTAGGAAATTTGTGTTCAAATTTTACCTTCCTAGCTTTTACCGTTTGGGCTGTGCGTTGATCGCCAATCAGTCAGTCAGGACAAACTGTTTTATATATATCGAGATTTCCTCTACAAGCAATCGCAAAGGCAATTGACAACTAAAGTAACGAATACAAATGTGCAAAGCTACCATTGTGTGTACTTAAAGTATGTATATCTTGAATATGACTTGGCATTTTCAATCAGATCTACTGCGATGCGGTTTCCATTATCCAAAGCTATGTAAATTGACATTAAGTGCTGGGTGCAGAAGGCGCATTGGCCTTTAAAGGTCATTACGAGGCAAGTAATTGTTCAGAGTGGTTAGGTTGAAAGGCCAAGAAGCCAAGTGCTTGCACATCATAGAACTAATCAGTGTAAGGGTTGCAAGCTATATACACACAAATACGTAGGAAGGTGTCCTATGTATATGGAGGTGCATGTCTATTCACTGGCAGGAAGTCGCAAAACAGCCAGCACAACAATGGAAACATTGCTGCGGTAATAAAAGTAGGTGGACTGCTGCATGTGTATATGTGGCAACAAAAAGGACAGCAGTAAGCAATATAAAACGTCAATATAGTTAATTTTGTAGTGAACAAAACATTCTCCCGCAAAACCCACTAAGTCTGAGTGTGGCTGACTACAATGTTTTTGAGATAAGAAGGGAATAGATAGACAACAATAACGGGCAGCATGTAACAAATAGGAACCGACAGGCACCAAACCCAATTAAACAGTAAATCTGCATCTACATACTTGTATACCATAAACCTTCCATCAAATTTACATACAAATTGTATCACTATGTTACATACTTGTATTCTTAATCAGTATGTTTGAAGTTTTGTTAAATACCCATTTATACATTTAAGATCGATATATGACTGATTATGTGAAGTCGGAGAGGACAAGTTCTTTATTTTGCACGTGCTTTTTGCATCGAAAGTATCGCAAACCGATCCCAGGAATTTCAATTTGAAATATATACTGCGTGGCGAGCACAGGCAAGCGATGGGAAATAGGCCTATTCTGTTGTACTGGGACCCAAGTTCGGATATTTTGTAATCATTTTTAAACGCGCACAGAAACTACCCACCCGTTTCTTGTGGCCCCAAAAAGTATGCTATAGAAAGGTTCTTACTTTGCACCAAGAGAAACATTTTTGTTTGAATACAATTGACAGTGGAAACGGCTTGAAAATAAATTGGCATGCTCTTGGGTGTAATTGATAGCGCAGCATCAGCATCACGCCCCAACGACTCAAACCAATAAAATAAAGGAAACAAATACAAGTATACAGTACCAACATACATACATATACGCTTATTGACTGTTGACTGCTGTAAATAACATTTTCATCAACAAAATTACATACTATATACGAAAATTGAGTTGGAAGTTTTTAAGTGCAAAAAGTATTTATGGTTCACTTGATAACATTTTACAATATGTATGTATACATATATGTGTGTGCGTATGAAAGACTCTGTGTGTGTAGATTTAAAGCAACCCCTCGTGCCTGGACTTGATAATGTTGTTGCTTCACCAGTTTGCCAAGTCTTTAAGCAGTTTGCGCAACCCAGAGAGCGAGAGAGGGACTCAAACCCAAAATTAAATTCGAAGAACTAAAAGAAAAACAAAAGAACAACAAAAGCAACGGTATAAAAGTAAACAAAAAACAAGAAAAATACGAGTACAGCTAAAAGTTAAAGAAGAATCAGCAAACTAAGACAGGATAAACACATGTCTCACAAAAAGTAATAGTGTGTGTCTATGTGATTTATTGGTGAGACTCAATGAACAGCCCAGAAACCTATGTATTGAAAGCCGGTGGACATTGAGGGTGTGGATAAATACAGGAGTAGTGACAAAAACCAAATCGAATACAATGCACTCTTCACAGGAGCCCAAAGTGTTCGTATGTAGGTTTTCTTTTTACGGACGTAAAAGACTGAACGTTTTAAAGGCGAATAACAACAACAGGAACAGGGGGAAACATCACCTTACTTCAACAACATCAAGGGGCAATGGGACAGGAATGTAAGCCAAATGTGTCCACTGCCATTGGTAAAGGAGTCTGTGTGAAGCCGAAGTTAGAGATGAGCGCGCGACAGAAAATCAAGCACGAATCTTTCTACAATATTGATAAACTTCTTATAAAATAAATTGAAACATTTTAATATAAATGCCCAATGAATGTAAACTTACCAGATTTCTTCTACGATATCTTATAATTTCCAAAAGTACTATATATAAAATGCGCTTAGCTCGAAACTTTTAATTTTCACATTAATATGTATATTGAAATAAACCATAAAAGAATATTTGTTTTTAATTCGTGTGTATACTCTTAATTAATAGGATGCAAACAAATATAATACAAAGTTTCATATGAAAGCGTGATTTCCGTGTTAGCACATACAATCACGTGCCCATCTCTAGCCAGTTAAGGGTGAGTGTGTGTTAATTTGGGTGCAACATTCAACAGGTGCTGAAATCACATTTTAAGTTTCCTCATTTCTTTTTACAAAAACACAACAAATATTGTCACATTGACGAGCCAACGAGCAAGCGAACGATAAGAACTTGTACGGGCGAATCACACACACACAATGAAAAGAAACACTCAAAAGCAAAAACAGAGAATAAGAGAGGATAAGAGAGAAATAGAGAACGGGCAGGCGTGACCAGAAAAGACAAAGTTTTTTGCCCTGTGCTTGCAAAGTAACAACCACTGGCTTACCTTGCCCCTGACTTACAGAAATTGCAACCTGCAACAAGTGCCATATTTTCATTATATTTATTTCAGAATAACGCCCAGTGTACGTCTATATATAAGTTTGCTCGCAGGAATTGTGACGCACGTGTTGAATACCATGCAATGAACATGTCGAGTAGCAGCGTCTTGTGGCAAATCTCTGTAAAAACACCAGTAGAAGAATAGTAAGCTCCATCATCATAGACATCACCACAATTGACTTCCTATTGTTTAAAAGTACTTGTTAAGGTATATGTTGCAAGGAAGCCGAGCACCTGAGTTTCGAAACACTAAAAAATGATTTATTAAAAATCTAATTTTCGGACTGCCAAAGATTTTCATATCCGCTGACATTGATAGATGCACAGTAATGGGAAAGTCATTTGCCTATGCTTCGAATAAGTGTAAGAGTGGGTGAAAACAAGATTATTTATCTGCCTAACCTACGTGCAATGAAAAGCGGTTGGTGGATGAGCAAAGGAATGCGTCGGTTATGCTTCCATATTTATACATTTTGTAAATTAATTTTATAGTTCGTTCAGTTTCGTTTTTGGGCGACCATAAAGAATTGGAATGTCATGAAACAGTATTCTATTTTCCGTGCAATTTGTAATTTCTCCGTCACTACATTTTCAACTCTCTGTATTGATTTCAGCTCCTTACATACAAGTTGCTTAATTTTCAATGTGAATTCCAAAGACACAGAGACATAACGAATTTAAAAATGGTGAAGACTGGTTAACTTACCTGGGATTTTGAACGCATTGTGGGCTGATATTTGCGGCGAATCTTTCGCGGACAACACATGCAAAGAAGTCGCACAAAGGCCCTGAAAAAGTTCATATTTGGTAGGTCTTACTTAAATTAAAGACATTTTATGATGCACTCACCTGCGAAAGTCCCTGCTCCAGCAGGCATAAATAACGGGATTCATGCATGAGTTTATCCAGCCCAGCCACGTTACTATAGCCGAGACAATTTCCTCATGCTCAATACACTCGACGCAAAAACCCGACAGCAGATTAACGACAAAGAATGGAAGCCAACAAACAATGAATACACCCATGACAATGCCCAGCGTCTTAGCCGCCTTCTTCTCCTTGGCGAATTTGGCCAGTTTACGCGATAGGGAGAAGTTTTTACCCATATGGCGATGTCTCGCCAATCCATTGTTATGTAGTGCCGATAGTGGCTCATCGTCTGGCTCCTCCGGCGTGGATGTGGTGGTTCCTCCACTATTGTTGTGATGATGATGATGAGAGTGCGAATGAGAATGGCTTAAGGAGCCACCACCAGCGCCGCCTGCTTGAACCTGGTGCGTGTTCGTCTGGGGCTCACGCGTCGTACCCCCACGATGAATGCGAAGCGTGAGCTGCAACTCCCCAGAGGCCATTAGTACCTGCTTGGTGCCGATCTTTAACGAACGCGTTTGTATGACGGCTGCTCGATAGATCCGGCAATAGGTGAATACCATCACGAGTAACGGCAGATAGAAAGAGATGGTCGACGAAAAGACCAAGTAGCCCAAATGCTCAGTAAAGGTGCACTTGTAGGCTGGCATTTCACCATCACGTGCTGCTCGCCACCAAACAATGGCCGGAAAGCTAATGGCGCTTGAGCAGATCCATACCGCGGCAATTAGCGCCGCGGCACGTTTTACAGTCATACGCATTGGATAACTGAAGGGATCTGTGATGGCCCAGTAACGATCAAGAGAAATGACGCAAAGATTTAGTATGGAGGCCGTGCTAAAAAGTACGTCTAGAGAACGCCATATATCACACCAGTCTGTCCCGAAAAACCAAGTATTTTCCAGCACTTCGTACAACGCTGAAAACGGCATGACCACCAGACCCACAAGACAATCAGCAACGGCCAAACTCGTGATGAAGTAGTTAGTGGCCGTGTGCAAGTAACGCTCCCTTATAACCGCCATAATCACCAACGAATTGCCAAAGACTGTGGCAAAGGAGAAGAGAAATAGAAAGACTAACAGACTGACCCGGTCATTTGGCAGCGCCTCCAGAAACTCGGACAAATCTGGTTCTCGTGTTGTGCTGCTTCCCAAAGGCGTCAATGTAGTCATAGTGCCATTGTAGGCTCCTAGTGCTATCTCCGTACTGATGGGCAACGGCGGCGATTCCGTCTGCGCAACATTGAAACCATTGAAGTAATAGTATATGTCCTCAGATATATTGAAGCTGCTGTAGAATGACGGATGTTTTGTGGGCGGCGCTGACACATCAGTCGCAGTACCGCTTGACTGATTGAACGACGCGCCCGAGCGCAGTAGAGCAAGTATGGGCTCTACTGCACCCGCTGCTGCTGATTCTGCTTCTGCTTCCGTTGAGGACGAAAACGATGATGATGAAGATGAAGGCTGCTGCCGATTGCCGCGGTCCTTTATAATATCATCCGCCATGGCTTAATGCAATGTGCCTGTTCTCGCTATCACAGTCGCTGTCGTAGCTGCCTCTCCTGCTGCTCCTGCACCTGACCTTTGTCCGTGTCTATGTGCTTCGCTTCGGCTGCTGCTGAAATTATTGAAGCGCATTTTTTCCCTGTTGTTTGTGGCATAAGTGCTGTAATCAAAGAAGAGTGCGAAGTCCCAAATTAATAGTTATCTGGCTTACAGTTCAAAATCTCATTCTTAGGATAAACAATAATTGGTCAAATTTTGTGTGTACATTCGCTACATTCTACAGTAGTAAGATTAAAATGATTTTCTTGAATTTAGTAGTATTTTTGCTGGTTGCAAAGCGAATCATTGCTGATGCCGGAACTGTTATAACTGTTTTCTTTTATTTCGTAACTCTCTTTATTTAGGATCTGTCCTTCGTTGGACAATTATTAATTTTTATGAGAACTCGTAACTTTAATCAGGCTTCTGCCATGATTCCGGCGTGGATTGAGCCCAGAGAGCATACTCTGGAACAAACTCACATTGTATGATCCCAGCTAGCTCACAAACTAAACAAATCCATAGCACAAGAGCTCATTGTCGTATTGACTCAAAGTATCACATTTACAGCACCTGTCAACTTGAAGCTGACCTGCTTTTCACCAAAATGTGAAGTGGGTATATAGTATGTATCATTTTTCATGTCTCTAAGAAAGTCCAACAAATATCTGCTTCGTACGCGCCTATAAATTTCATTCAATTAATATGTTGGTTTTTCGCCCTGTTGCAGGTCGCAGACCGCCAAGTATTCCACGTACAACTCCAAACAAACAAATTAATTCAACCATTTAACTGCTGTTGGCAGTGGTTTTTTTTTACGTTTTTTGCGGTTTTGAACATTTTATTGCCTTAGTCTTTCGGCAGCCAGCTGCCGTCGAAAGGTGCGCAATTAATTTGCAAACAGACAGTACATTAACTATGATGGAAAGGGAGAGGAGGTAGGAGTATCAGGTTAATGGGGCGACCGCAATTTCGCAGCTTTCGACTTTGTCTTCTCGGCTTTCTCATAAATAAACAAATTAAATAACATTTCAAGTGCCGCGGTTAGCAAGAAGTCAACCGGGTGACCGAACCACACACCTTCTCTTAGACACAAATGCCTAACTGGAAAACTGACAGGCTGAGCGACATCAGCCAAGATGTCGCGCCGAGTCAACAACTGTGCAACATCGCATTATTCAAGAGTTGTCTGAGTTGCCGTCTTTCGACATCCGTCGTCCTTTGTCTAGCTGCCAGAAAGCAGTCCTTCTGCACCGACAGCTGATTTCTAAATTCTGCAGTTGATGTAACCAAACGGCAAGGGAGGGAGCACTCAGTCAATGCCCAATTGACACAGCGTTGGCTTAGCAGAATTCCCGGACAGCTTCTATTTTACTTAACGAATTTGCTGTCATTTTCAGAGAGCTGAAAACAACGACGCAACAGGCCATGAATTTGTAAAACAAACTTACCATATGGTTGAGTTCGTCAGCAAGTAAATTAGTGACAGAATGAATCGAATGCCGAATAAATACTCAGAAATCCGATTTGGGCTGCGGCCGTGCGTAACCGTGAAAAGGGTCAAATTCTTAACCTCTTTTAGTCCTATTGCTAATGAACCAGAGCCTTCCAAATTAGAATGAAACTTTATTTTCTTTTCTCATCATCAATATTTGGGAACATTTCAGACTACACAAACATATGACTCAAGAAAATTAAATGAATTATCAACAACTTTAACAATAACACTTGATTAGAAAATTTCCCAATTTTGAACTCATAAATTTAGGTAAATTTTGTCTTTAATGATAAGGTTATATATGGCTTGAATAATATTGCTATTTGACCCTAATTCTCGTAACTATTAAGTTTGCGGATCAAATCTTCAACCCCGATAATCTGTACATATTTTGAATATTCAGAATTATACTTTATAAACCTTTAAACATTTTGAAAATTTTTTTATGTCCTGTACCAAGTGTAGCTTAGTGCGAATGTATGTAACACAGAAAGATGAGTGGCATACCCAACAAAGTATATACATATATTATTGATCACTATGCCAAGACGACCATCTGTCCGTCTGTACGAGCGGAATGACCTCAGCAAGTACGGGATCTAGAATAACCAAGCTTTGTATCGAGGCTATCATAGGCAGCCTGTTATTTTTTCTTATACAATTTCAATTTCCATAACTCCCGCAATTCTCAGAATTTTTAACTCAAATTCGACAATTATATGCATTTAGTGCTTATCTGCCATTGTGTTAAGTTTCATCATAATATGTAAATTGATTGTTATACCCAGAAATGTAATCTCTGCCCAAGCTCTTCTCGCAGCTGTTGCTGTTGTTGTTGCTAATTAGCCTCAGGCTAAGACACAATTCCAATGCACACGGTTTAAATTTCATTAAAATCGGTTGATTCTATGAAAAGTTATTAGCGAAACAAGATCATCGCTCAAACTGCAGGAAGGGGTTCTCTCTTGCTTCTGCTATTAATGCATATAACTCAGCGCCGGAAGTTTATTGGCTACAGGGTGTTTCACTGTCCAGCTTGCTCGACTGTACCATTCTCTCTTCTTTGAAATTATGATTGTGCATTTAAACATCTTTGAATTTCGCAGAGATTACCATTTCATGGAATTTCCACCTAGTAATCAAAATCCAAGCAACCCAAACTAAAGCCATGCGATTAGCTTTTAGGCTTTAGATATATTCATGACAAACAATAGCTGAAGACAGGGGCTTTGGTACCGGTAAATGTTTCCATCTCGCCTCATATCCGTCACGTTTACTACCATGCTAGACATTCCGCCTCTTGTTGTTGCTGCTGTCGTCGATGGTTATCTACTTTTATGCTGTGCCTCTCTACGGCCTACCCTCATTTACTGCGTCAGTTTTCTGCTGTTTAGTACAATTTCCTGCAACATTTCTCATTCAAAGGCAAAAAAAGAAGTGTACATACAGACACATTTTTTTCACTTAAGGCTGATGATGCAGTAACTCAAAATGTGCGTAGAATTCTAACGTTCTTGTATGTGTGAGTATGTTTTTGCGGAGAGCATATGAAATGCTTACACATTACAAGTTCTGCAGCAAAGAAAATATGTGTTGACTGTTTAAGTTGGGCAAGCCCCAACCCACAAAGGTAGAGAACAAAATCACTAAACGCCTGAAGTATAAAAACAACAACCAAATGGAAAACACAGAAAGTTGACGAACGTATACACATTTGCGGACGTACTCATACAAACATTTGTGAATGTGTATGTGCTCGGTGTTTGTGAAAGTTAGTGGCTTACTCACAGTGTTCGTTTGTATCTGATGTTCCCAAAAATTTAATTGTAACGACCCTAAAGGACCAGCTATGTGTTTGTATATTGTTGCTCTTTTTGTGCTTTTACTCGAGAGTTCTAGTTCAAATGCAATTGAATGAAATTTTTAGGTATTTTCGCCAAGTTCAAAATTAGATGTATTTCTATTACTAAATTTATACATTTTTTACAAATATATTCGATTACTTATAAGTACTTGTGTACTGAAAAGTATCCCTATTGTATACCAAATATGAATTAGGGACCACGATTTTGATCTACATTTATATAAACCTGCTTGTCGTTGGCCATCAATTGAAATTGATTCATGTAGTTAATGTTGTCATTTTTGTGACTTTCGTACTACATGGTACAAAATCATTGCGAAAATGGTATTGCATTTTAGATTCATCTGCCAATGACACAATACATATGTGCGCATTTGCGATAAAGTAGATGACAAAAAGCTTTGATATAGTCATCTGCAATAGCAATCAGAGAATTTAAACATGCTGCTTCAATGCGACCGGCAACAGCAAGAGTAACAATAACGATTGCAACACCGACATTAAAACCACAGCAACTACAATCGTAACAGTCGTTGGATTACAGCAGCAGTAACCAGCACCAATATAACCAGGCAGCTGTTACAAGAGTTGAATTTTTATTAAGAATATGCCATTGTTCTTTCTATATATTGTTAACTTTCCATGCGTTCCGAGTACATTTGTTGTTTAATGGCCGTAATTATAAACGAAATATAGTATTTGCGGAAAATAGATTCCCGCTAGAACTATTTCGAATGCTATGAGGTCGATCCTCGTCATTGCTACATTCTCGGAACATTATTAGATTACAGACAATTTATAAGCACGACACGTACGCGAGCTATTAAAAACCCTCGATGGCAAGGCAAACTAAATTACTTTACTTCACGAAAAAGTTTTTTAATTGGGAGTGGTTAGTTGCCATTTTACCTAAAATTCATATCCCCTTCGAATATTTATATCCATACAAGCGTTCGTCTGGCGCTGGTTCGATAAACATATAGTAGTACATAGGTTCAAGGTCACAGATTTATTACCCCACCCAGCTATACAAACTATCCAAAGCTATCCTATACTCTGCCGTCAACGAGCCAGCAATGTAAGCAAAGTTTAAGCTTCAAAATTTCCATCTCCACGACATTGTACAACCTTTCCATAAAATACGCACCCCAAGTGCTTTTCCTATTCAAATTACCTTCACGTAAACTTGATCAAGTTTGGGTAGAGTTCAGGTTGAAAACGCTATCAATGACTATCATTGGCAACACACACACGTTGCCTAAAATCTCTCAAATTGCTCCCAAAGCGTTTTTAAGTAAACGAACTAAGCGACGCATGTCACGAATAGGGAATGGGTTCTTTCTTAATAAAGCAAAAAAGTGGCTTCCACGCGCTCCGTTATCGAGTTGCTCAAATCTTGACAATCTTAATGCGACGGAAGCACACAATAACCAGGGAGACAGCCATCAGCCAGGGCGGCTAGCAATTTGAAACGAAACGTTAACTACCTTTTGGCTAGAGGCAAAAAGGTTTCAGTTGCTACTAATACAACCAATTTGTATACCCTGTATAAGAAATGTAAAAGGGCTTATTGGGCTTGTTCAAAGCGAAAAATGTAAC